TATACTCACCTATTGTGTAACTTGAAACTTACTAACCTAGACCAGTACAATTGCAAACTGATTGTCCCTGGTTGTCCCTCTAACAAATAATTGTACTTGACTACAACTACGAGGTCTAAAAGTGCCATCTCTGTGATACTAGTGAAGATGGTCCTTAATATGGGAAGCAACCCTCTGCAGCTGTGATCTGTCATAGGCAGAATTAAATTCGATACCACACTTATCCTAGAGGAAAAAGGTCAAGGTGCACCCATATAGCACAATGCTAAAGAAACTGATGTATGGACACGAGCGTCTGTATAGCAGTTTCTACTTTATTAGGATAAACAACTGATATGTATTGACATAATCCTTAATAATGTATTCTAGGCGTTTCTAGATGTTAACTGCTCATTAAGTTACATATGTATTGTGAAATCTACAACAGATCCTAACAGGTAATCCTTTGGTAGTATTAGTTAACACCTAACTGTGAGACTCAGCATTACAACCACACCAGTTTGTAAAATCCTTTATTAGCAAATAAATACAGCAGACTGTTTTTGACAAGTCCTTGGCAGCTCTCTGTCGCCTAATGGAAGGTAAACAAAGGGACGGGACAAGTCCTGTGGCATCATGACTCAAGACTTCAAGGACTTTACCAACTGCTGTGGTGTGTTTATTTACTATTTTACTGTGTATTTGGCGAATGAGTAGGGGTAAAACTACCCCTTACTTATTGACGAGGGGAAAGGTGGCATTTGGGTGCCCCTTTATGAATGGGGGCTCGTAGATTCAGATAAGCCCCCTGCCTGCAGACCCCCACAACCGCTGGGCCAGGTTTGTGGGGAAGAAGCCTCATCAGCATGGGGACAAGGTGCTTTGCAAGGGCGTCCCTTCTGGTAAAGCACCCTGCACATGTTGAGGGCATGTGACCTGGTATGGTGCAGGAGGAGAGGGGTGCACAATTGCCCCCCTCCCCCCCTTTCTGCTCTACTGATATTTAAATTATTACTTTTAGATCCATTAGCTTAAACCTAGTGGCATCTGATCCTGTACAGCCGGTCTCCAGTGGAATATAGGTTTACCCTTGCACGGCACCATATGTGAGTGTATTTATTTCTTATACACTAAATTGTCCTTTTGTAAATATGTTTGTATATTAATATTATTGCTATATTATCTGTAGATATTCCCTATGCTTTCTGAGAAAATAGACTTAGTTCTGGGAAAAGTAAAAGAAACTACCACCCTCCTATTACTGATCATCAGCTTATTGTAAAAGGTTTTGTCTTTCCACAGACTATAGAAGGTGCACAGGGAGAGGTCAACGATAGATATATGAGCATATATCTGGTGAAATAAGTGTATACCATGCTTTTACATTCTGCAATTTTTGTTGTGTACTCCTTATTTGTTAACTAGGACAGAGAAGGAAAATTACCTTCCCAAACAAATCATTGTGTTAAATTAAAGGATTAATAATGTAAACAGTATGGGTGGAGTATTGCGTTACCTATTTGTTTTGTTTGATGGACAATCCTTTTAATAAATGAACCAGGAAGATTCATGTTCCACTTGCATTATTACTGCTTTTCTAATTTTGGTCTATAAATGTAGTTAGCATTTTAGTTTCACAGCCAGTGTATGATAACCCTAACAATTAACTATTTACTTACTTGTGGTCTGCTAAAAATAACACTGAAGGTGTTCAATCAGTGTAAAAAAAAAATCCATGTTGATTTTGGCAAAAATATTAGAAGCAGACTTCACTTGCTCTCTACCTGTGCAAAAGGAGGGGTTATGGATATAGGGGGAAGAGAGATGAGGGGAGGTCTGTGTCTTTAGTAATCCATCAGAAATAAAATGGGTAGGTTCAACACCACTTGCTTAGAAATTCTGTCATATCAAAAAAGAAAGTAGGAGCATATAGTAGGAGCATATTTCTGGCACATCAACAGCTGAGATCTATGGGCATAGATGAAATGGTGTGTATATGGATAGAGAACTGGCTACAGGAATGGGTCCAGAGAGTATCGATAAATGGCTCCTTTTCAGATTGGTCTAGGGCAGGGGTTCTCAAACTACGGCCCGCGGGCCAGATCCAGCCCGTTCGGGTGTCAAGGCCGGATTAAGGGAGCTGCAGGCCCCTAACTTTACTACTTCCCGGGGCCCTAGGTGACATTAGGGGTCTTGGAGACCACTGATGTCTCCATAAAGAGGACCTATCACATCTTTTGCTATCACATAGGGGGGTTTCTTAGCCCCCTATGTAATAGCAATAAAGTCAAGTGGAAAAAAAAATAGGAAATTTTTTTTAAAATTACACATAAAAAAGAATTTAAAAAGTCCCATCCCCAAACATACATGCTTGCAAACATGCGTCGGGTGCGCATACCTGCGAAAATGACGATTGCGCCCATTATGCCGCACATTAAGTAATAAGTACTATCGTTGTCACACTCCTTACCGATATGTCCCTTGTAGTGGGGGGTGCTCGCAGTGACTGCGGATGGCGCCGCGAATGTCAGTAAAATTGTAGAAATGTCACCAGCACACCAGTCTTTTTGAGATATCAAAAGCTTCATTTATTGAAGTTTTTTGTCATATGACCAAACAAGCGCTTTAGGGACCGCACAGGGTCCTTCATCAGGCTTTAGCATTGACAATTGTACAGTGATCACATCTAGGTATAAATAGACAGACAGTTGCATAAAACACCAATAAACACACCCTCTGACATCACAATGACATCATAATCCCACCAAAAACATGTGCAGATGTTAGCTGTCATATACAGTATAATCAGTATAGAAAAGTACTATGTGCCATCAATGAAATGCTGCATATGAACACATATCAGCCTTGGATCAAAAAGTAAGTGGCTTACTTGGTGTGAGAAGAAAAACGAAGCCTGTAACATCATGAGACTGCTGTATATTCCAGCAGCCATTCAGTTCCGATCATTACTATGGTAACAGGACGCTGTCAGGTCCTGTGTGCAGAGGAAGATCCCGCCCACTGGTGCTGGCAGAGAGCCAGCTGTGTGTAATGTAGAAGGAGAGAGAGAAGAGAAAATGTCCTGGATCTGCAGTGTACATGGCTTCCAGTGAAACGTAACGTATTGACACGCAGGGGCGCCACCTGCTGGTGCTAGCCAGTATTGCAGGTGGATAACACATTAATTATTTCTATTTCACAAAAAGGGCAGTCATGAGAATAGCTATTGTGTGTGGACCTGCTGAAGTGTTGAAAGCAAGTCTATTAAACAGAGATGCACATAAATTATGGAATAAGTGGACATGTTGAAATTAAACAAAATGAAATCTAAACAGTTGGGACGGTATATACTGTATATGTAAAAATTGCCATTAGTTATCAGTCTAGAGGTACGATTCCATATTGAGCATCAGATATGAAAACAGTCAAAAGAGATCAGGTAAAAAAGTGTGGATCTTGTTATAAATGACTGCTGAAAAGAATTTTGTTATAAATGACTGCTGAAAAGAATAGGGGCACCCTTCAGTGAATTTGAATTTGACGTCCGTGATTAATTGAATAATGGTCCAATCAAACACCAATATGTGTAAGAAAGAACCAATGCTCATATAGGAGGGAGTACCAGAGAGTAGTACGGGATTCAGATCTGAAATATTTGAAAACATTTTTATAGTATTTATATAAAGGAATATACATACATGTACAGATGCATACACATACATATATGCTTGCATACATCATGCACGTAATTTAAAAAAAGAAAAAGAGAATCCACTATCGCCAAAAGTTTTAAACCATTCAGAAATAAAACAAACTCGTTACATAGTTGAGTAACACCAGACCTGATGAGGAATATGCCATCTATGTACCTTAACCAGGTTATAACATGCTTTTTAAACATCTCTGATTGAAAGGTATGCTATTTTTCGAGAAATCCCACAAATAGAGTTGCCCATAGCGGTTCCACGGATTTTATACTGTACGTGACGAGTTATTTGCTGCAGTTAAGGCTGGTAACCGCTGAGAATCAGCGGTTACCATTCAGTAATGGATGTCTAACTATCTAGGCATCCATTAATGAAAGGGTTAACCTTTTTCAGACACCCGATACCTTAATATCGGGTGTCTGAGAGTCACAGCAGAGCGGGCACACATGCGGCTTTTGCCGGCATTCTGACAGCTCTTATAGATCGAGAGAGATATCTCTCTCAAGCTATACTGGCTTTTTTTTTTATCTTTGACTTTCAGGAATAGACACATAATGTATCTATTCTTGAAAGTGGAATGTTTCAGTTTTCTGAAACATTCAGTGACAGCTGAATCCTGAACTGCTGCAGGATCAGTGTCACTAACTTATTATCGGCTGTTCTGAAGTTTGAAGCAGCCTGATAATAACCAAAAATGTATTAATTTATCAAGCAGTAATAGTGAGATTAATTCACAATGACTGCTGGATATAATTAAATAAATAAAATAAAATTTTTAAGTTTATAAAAAAAGTGAAAAGTGTAAAAAAAAAAAAAAAATAGTGAAAAGTGAACAAAAATAAGTGAAAAGTGTAAAAAAAAAAAAAAATAGTGAAAAGTGTACAAAAATTTAAAAAATAAGTGTAAAAAAATAAGGGACAAATAAATGAATGTATGTATTGCATTATTTTTTTAGCTGTGCTGGTTTTGTTAAAAAAATACGTTTTTTCCCCTTTTTTAATATTTTATTTGTCCTAAGTGAGGCGTTAGACACACATATGTGATATAAATATATAGCCCTATCTGTCCTCTAAAAAACAATATATATGTGTGGGTGCACTTTGTATGAAAGTATATTACTGACGTGGAAGAATCACACAGCAAAAATTTCAAAAGTGTGTCAGTCATTTACGAACAGAAATAAAAACAAAAACAAGCTCAATCATGAAGGGGTTAAAGGGATAAAACTTGGGGAAATGTGCATGTATTGCAGAGATGTACTAAATACAGTATATTATTCTTATTTTTGCCTAGACATTTATGCTTTAATCTTACCATCACATCCCCTCACTACTGGACCAAATCGATGGAGAGCATCAGTTAAGAGATCTGGGAGACGTCCATTGAGATCCACAGAAGCAAGACACCCCTGGAAACCATCTCGAGATGCAACAAGCTTTGGAAGTATGGCATACATATTTCTTGGAAGGCCACCAATATAAAGTTCACCTGGATATAAACATACAGAAAGGTAGAGGACAAAAAGAAGTTAGGAAAGCATGGAAAGAAATTTCAAAAATAATAATAGAATGATAAAGAGTAATAGAAAAAAGAAAATTATGAAGAAAACTGATTACGGATTTACTTCATAATTTAATTGTGACTAATGTACTAGAGCAGTGGTTCTTAACATTCCTACAATTACAAACCCCCCAAACATATTGACCAATATGTTTCCATACCGGATACATTAGGCTGTCAAAATCATCATCAGTTTTATTCTGTGCCAGTATGACTTTAAAATATGTCAATGGTGGGGGAGATGTCAGTCTGTGAGCTCTGAGTCTGCTATGGGTTTTTCCTGGTATTTTGTGCTGTTTAAATCCCTTTTGCTCAGAGAAGTCAGCAAGACCCTCAGTCTGCTGACCTTCATAGACTTTTTGTTGCACAGGAACGATTAGACCTAACATGGCACAGACATGTGCTTCCATAAGTGGTGCAGATGTGGATAAGTGGGTCCTATCCCATTACTTACAACCCCGGAATCCCCGATAGCTAGCCCTTTGATGTTGAGGTTAGAGTCCCTGCAGAGCTCAGTCTTTCGTAATGCAAGTAGTTTGAAGGCCGCAACAGGGAGGACTTTATGTCTACTACTTAAGGATATTCCTTGACTGACTGACCTGGGGGGCCTGCCAATGTACATCAAAGTTGCATTAGACAAGAAGCTTGTGGAGAACCTAAACAGTTTCAGAAATAGATAATTGGGTAATCCACTTGGAGAAGATGCTTACTGGGCTATCTTCAAGGGTAGCTGCATTGGAGGCGATGGCGAAGGGCATATCACCAACAGCTCTCTTTGTTCCATCTGCACCTGGAAGATGGCGAAAATAGGTAACACAGGACCAATGTGAGTTTGTGCAGCATCCTGGAGGCTGCAGTAGAAGTAGATCTCTGGATTACAGTGACAGTAATACTTAATTTCTTTCTGGACAGAAATGAGACCACGGAACATTAACTTGAGTGCATTATATAGCTGGCCCTAGATTGGCAGCTCGGCTGCAGCCCTGTGGCATCCCATGCAGAGTAGACTTTTTCACTAGAAAAGAAGGAATTCTCAGACAAAGTCTGGAGCGAGGGACCTGTGAAGTTCAATGGTGCTCAAGTGCAGGCACACCTAGACCTAGCCAGACACACTTTTTACATGAGACGCCTGTTGCGACCGCTCCTGGAAAAGATCTGCAATATGGCTGCCACTTACTGGTGGTGGCACCGTTCCACCTCCAGTTTTGACAGATCAAAAAGACCCTTCTGTTGCACGAATCTTAATAGCTCCCTGAAGTGCTGGCCTTCCTGGGTACTGATGGTGGGGAAGTTCCAGACTGACTCGCTTTGCTGGAGTTGAGATCTACCCTGTCAACTACTCCTGTTTTACCTCAGAGAAGCAACTTAAATGGAAGCACTAGAAGATCTCACCCTTCTTGGCATGCCACTAGGTTGTCTCTGATCTCCAATGGGACATGGGATGGAGGAAGCCATGTATTCCTGCTCCGACCTACAGTCCGTGCTTGTTGGTCTGCAAGTATATTGGTTATATTTCAAGCTTGGTTAACATGGGCCTTTTTGTGTGGCTGTCTCCTTGTGCCTGGGATCTGTTGGGAGTATATTTAGAGATAGTACATTCAAAAAGGTTTTATGTGGGCTGGGTGGCTGGGTCTATTGAACATGGTTTGTGAGACCTGTAATCTAGATGATCAATCTAGGCTTGTCAGCCTCAGACTTGGAGACATTCATCTACGGTGGCCTTGGTTGGCTTTTACGACTCCAGGAGTACAGACATTTATGGATCATTATGGTTTCCTAGTGGACCCTCCTTGCTTCTCTTGAATCCTACCTGCACACTCCGGTCCTTTTGACAGACTGAATTATGTTTTTCTAGAGTCCCCAGTGCACTAGTGCAGAATCATTACCGCCATTTTTTTTTTCTGAGCTAAGGTGGGGTGATTGAATGCTTCACTCCCTGCCTTTATGGTGCATTTTACTATCATGGGTATATGCATATTCTCATTACAGTACTTTTCAGGCGGATAATTTCTGTTGTTCAGGTGGGCTGGTTCTTGCCTTTTCCTTTCCTTTGGTGGCAGTCAGTAGAGAGATACAAGGAGTGAGCATGGCTGGCCAAGTGGACCTCTCGTCAAATGTAAATGTGTAAATATCTATGTTGTAAATAGTTATGTTGTCTATGCTTTTATTATTACATTTGTACTAATGTTTTATCTTATTTGGAATCGGCTGCCCATGAGGATTTTCTCTATGTACTTAGAAACTAATTGTGCTGATGTTGGCGATTAGTGCAGGTCATTATCTGTTACTTTAGTCTATTGCACACTGTTGGTGCATGGCTACTATAGTGTGGATGATGGGTTTGTCCCATGTATTACCCTTAGCTTTCTTATCCTTTGCCTTGATTCTGATATGAATTACCTGACCCAGACAGCTGAGATTAGAGATGCAACATTTCCTGAAATTTTTAATCCATGAGAGAAAACTTTTTTCCCTGTTTTTTTCTGGAAAAAATTGAAATGCTCAGAAAAATTGAAAAAAAAAATTCAGTGTGGAGTATTTTACAAATTGAAAGTCATTTTGTTACACTAGGAATGTGAAATGCAGTGTATATAAAGTGTTATGCTTGAAATAAAAGTACAGCTCATTCAGTAAATAAACTAAACTTGCTGTTTTTCAATTTAATTTTTTATTAGAAATTGAATAACAAGGACTGCATATGGTAATAAAATTTCCACTATACATGAGAACATGTAGCCACCCCCCTTCCCTCAAAAGCAACAAAACAAGCAATAAACCATCAACATAAAAGATAATCAGATTTGCCCCTTAGCACCAATAGCAAATAAAAAGGTAAGTAACTGGCATTATTTGAGCCAGTAGGATATGGACACCCAGTAAGGTCATCCTCAGTATTTAAGCTCCATAGCGAGGTTTAACTTTGGAGTGGTACTTTAAAAAAATAAATTAAGAAAAGCAAAGAAGACACAACAAATACAGTACATCCAATTTAATCTATCTCATTCTGAACTATCGTTGAGAAGCTCTCGTTTTCTGTTTCTTCTTCCTCTTCATATTTGTCATTTTTCCCATGGACTTCTAAAAGCCTAATGTTTGCATGGATAGAAACAAGCCTTTCTACCATTTCACATGTCAGTTTGTTTCTTGATTTGGTATAAATATTACCAAACATAGAAAAGATTATTTCACATGGCACAGAAGATGCAGGAATCTGCAGTAAGCGAAATGTAAGAGGTGTCAGAGGGTATGTTGTGCAGAGACCTTGCCACCATGTTGCAGAAGGGATATGTGTTGCAGAATCTCAGACTGCATTCCTGGCCCAAATCCCTGAAGATGTTCTATATTCTGCAACATTTGAAAGTACTTTTCCAACATCAAGTCCTAACTGTGCAGCTTGTTTTGTAATCCAGTCAAATGCAACAGCTGTATTCTCATCACTCACAACAACACTGCCTTTGAATCTTGGATCCAGTAGATTTGTAGCAGCGTGTATTGGATGGCAACAACATTTTACATAAAGGGGTTGATTTACTAACCTTATAAACACACCACGAACATGTATACACCTCTGTAGTGTGTTCCCTCCCAGCATGATCTATGGGTGGAATCTAAACACCTTTGTAGTGTGTACACACCCAGCAGGTGTGTTGTGCAAAGCCCTGCATGAATTACAAGGTGATGTTGTGTAAATTAGCTCTACGTTGTGTTGCTTGCGTTGATGAATGCAGGAATGTAAATGCATGAGCTAACCATTTTTTGTCTAAACTGTGAAGCAGCATTATATATGCATCATGTGCATGATTTTTCCATATATGGCATTAGTGGAAATATGCTTTTAGAGACTTTTTGGTTGATAAATACGTTTTGCTGTGTGAAAATCACACGCACCTGGTGCGTGCGTGTGTTTAGGTTAGTAAATCACCCCCAAAGTCTCAGAAATCTTTTGTTAAGATCTTCATGTTATATAATTTGAATACCATGTCAAAGATATATTATTTATCATTGTAAAGAACATATTCCACACTTTTTTTATTTAAATTGTTCCAGAAGAAAAACAAAATTTCCCCAATTTTTCAGTTTTTTCCCAGCCCTTCCCATCTCTAGCCGGGATATAGTCATGGGCATATGGAGGTTCTCTTCTCTATTTCTTCTTTTTCTGGCTAGACCACCTTCGGGCTGTCCTTTGGTAGTATTTCTTCCCTTCACTCTCTTTCTCCTGCATCTACTCTTTCACCTCTGCCTCTTCTTCTCGGGGTTGGGTCCAGCTTGGTGGATAGTGTAGGGTAGTGGGCAGGAATGAGGATTACAGTATGCCAATCTGCCACTAGATGTCCCCATAGGCAATAGGGAGTGACTGAGGGAGTCATTGTAAGGTTAAAGGTTGCTCTGCCCTGAGGGAGCTCTATGTCCAGGGAGAGGCATATATACTGTACAGTTTTGGGTGGAGGAGCCATCGAGAGGGAGAAGAAGGGAGTGTCTAGGTGAACAAGAGAGGTTGAGTGGTTTACAGAAGGCTGGTCCATGGGAAGGCACAGGACCAGGCCTGCCACCATGTAGGGGGAAAGCAAAGGAGGGCAGGAGCAGCGCTATCTGATGGGACTACTTGCATCTGTTTAGAATGCAGGACTGTGGGCAATACCTATCCATTGTCTATGGGCTACACCTCGACAACCTTCTTCTCTGCTATCCATTGGTAACTATTCCTGTGTGCTTGAACAAGTAATGTACTGTCATCAGTGAATGGGATGACTGAAGTCTGTATTATATTGAACATAAGAAGATGTTTAGGTAAATGTTCAAAAGGCTGTCTGTGTGTGGACTGCTCCTTCCCCCAACCTCTAAGATGGGGGGTTTCTCCTGGAAGCGAACTTGTGGTGGGCTGGACTGCTGTTATAGCGATGTAAAGGAGTGTATGTGGGGAGAGATCA